CACGTGAATACCCACATGGCCGAGGTGATGACGGCCAGGTTCGCGAGGATCTCCCAGAGCTACACTGTCCATTTCGAGACTGCGTCCCAGGCGAGGGAGTTCCATGACTACATGAGTGAGTACCCGATGAGTAAGCGTGACACTCGTGACCAGTCGTTGCACGACATAAGAGTCCGAGCAGACCTACCTGGAGACGTTCGAGGCCGGCAGCGTCAGTTGGGGCGAGTATGGATCCCGATGAAAGAGCTGTTGGTGAAGAAAGGAGCCTGGTCTCAGAACGTCAAGATGGGCGCCAACGGGTTTCGCAATGAGTTCTATTTCATCAAGGATGACGATATATGGATTCTCTTTCGCGGCACAGTAGATTCGTTGCACAGGATGCTGGTGCACGCCACTGACGACATCAAGAGTCTCAACATTGGGCAGGAGGACATCGACAATATGTTGAAGCTGCTCAATGAGTAGGATCCCACGCAGCCAGTACAAGCGCAGAATTCAGGACATGCAAATCGACATGTCCTTGAGGAGCTAATGGGCGAGGGGGGTCGCTTCTCCCCTTCTCCCTCTTCTTCTGGCGCTCCAGCTTCGTGTTCATCCTCTGGGCCATTCAGCTCTCGCGACGAATCGTCGTCTGAAGATGCTTTTGGGGGGATGATGGGGATCAAGTATTGGATTTGCCGTTTATCCCGTCTCGGCGTTTCAAGATCGTGACGTGGAACGCCCACGCCCTGTTCGGCTCGCTGCACTCCGACGTTGCGATGCAGCCCCGTGCCCGAGCAACGGTGCAGTCGCTGTGCGCCAGCTCCGACGTGGTGGTGCTCCAGGAGTATCATGGTTGTCGAGAGGATCTCCTTCTTTTTCTTGCTGACGTACAGCAGTTTGTTGGGTGGGGAACCTTCCTATCCGATCGTGCTGCTGGAGGGTCAGTGATCCTGATTCGCCGAACTTTTATGAAGCTCTTCGCGCGTGTGCGTCACCAGGTCATCGCCAAGGGGAGGTGCCACAACATGCATCTTAGGGGGAAACTGGGGTGCATGAGAATTACCAACATTCACATCAATCCCGCCTTATCTAACAGTATGAAATATGGGTTGGTCCGACGGGTGGGCTTCTCGGCCAAACCTGTCAGTGCGTGTGCTACTTGGGTCTTAGGTCATTTCAATTGGGGCTCCCGACTGTTTCTCCGAGCTGAACCTGTTTCATGAAAAACAGACGCGGTTGAAGGCTTGTTCGCCAACGTTTTTCCCTATTTGTGCGAGCTGGTGCAGCTCAACCCGACATTTAGAGTGAAACAGAACGAGAAGCTCGTCTCTGCTGGCAGGTTAGGCAGAATATATGTTTTTCTGGACTCTGGGCACTTGCTGGATTTGAAGCCGGCCACTGGCGTCGTCTGGCACGTCGCAGACTTGTTCAGGCCCAGCGACCGCGCGCCCGTCTACGCCCAGCTGAACCCAGGTTGCAGGCCGTCACCTCCGAGGATCCCTTCCTGGGCGGCCAAAAAAATCGCATTTCTCGACTCTGGTTCAGGACCTCTGGAAAGATATGCCTGTGTACGGAGACGCTTTTCTCAGGCTCCGTGGGCTCAGGATGTATTCCACGAGGCAGCTCGTCAGGTTAAAGAAGGTTTGGCAGTCGACGGCCCCGCGACCTGTCAAGAAATGTTACCCTGGTACTTGGCCTTCTTGCGCGCGATGACCCAGGGGGGCGGACGAGTCGTATATTCAGGTCTGGCGAGCCCGAAATCGGCGGATCGTTTTAACTGGAGCTGAAGCACCTGACGGCAGTGTTCCAGACACGCTTGAGAGCAGCGCTGAACTACTCGCTCGGCATTGGGGGGACGTACACTGATTTGAGCAGTTCCTCCAGGGGCTGAAAAGATTTCGGGGCTCCTCTCCTGGCCCAGATGGTATTCCGCTCAGCTGCTACTCTCATTGCGGGGAGCTGGGCGCACATATTCTGTTCCAGGCCTACCGGGCCCTGCTTGCTGGTGAGGCAGAGGACGACGCGTGTAACGAGTGCCTCGCAGTCCTCATACCAAAGGGGGAGATCCCCGAGTGCATGGACGAGCTGATTAAAGCCCCGTCTGAGGTTCGGCCGATATGATTGGGAAATACTGAAAATTGAATTGGGGGCTGGCAAAACAAGCATCGATATCATGTGCCGAGCCTCAGTTCGGGTTTGTCATTCGACGATATTTGAACGAGAATGTGTTGGAGGCCAACTCGAAGCTGGCGGTCTGGTTCTGTGTCTCTGGTGAGAGAGACGCAGGAAGTATTTTGCTCGACGTTCGTGCCGCTTTCCCCTCTCTCAATCATGGGTGGATATGGTGGGTCCTATGATATCGTCTGGGGTAAAACAGGGGTGCCCAGCCTCGGGATCGATATTCGCTCTCGTTATTGATCCAGTGGTGCGTGCTCTTTCCTGTGCCCTTCCAGAACCAAGCTGCTGCTTGTGCTGTTTCGCCGACGACATAATGCGCGGCTCGCGTGATCTTTCTGAGAGTGCCCCCGTCGTGCTGGCCATCATGAACCAGTGCGGATTGGCGACGGGCCTTCTTCCGAATAACAAGAAAGCGGTAATTGTGTTTATGGCGTCGTACTCGGTACAGTACATTCGAGATAGAGGTCTCGGCATGAGTTTCGTCGAACACATCCTGCGCTATAAGACCTTGGCGGTGCCAGTCACTCAGTTCGCTGGCCAGTTCTTTGAGCCTCCGCCAGCTATGTTCCGCCTGGAGGACGAGTGCCTTCACTTGCTGGTGAGCGGCCCGGGGCACGCAGTACCGCGAGCCGTGTTCTTCGATCTCGAGAGTGTCGCCATCGAAGCTATGGTGCCTCAGCTCCGTCAATTGTGTTTGGCTGCGAGGTGCCGTGCAGCAATGAGAAGCCAGGTACTACCCTGGATGATCCGATTGTATAATGATATTCTAGAGTCCAACGGGTACCTCGTGACCCATTTCTTTAACCCGCTCTTTCAGGAATCCTGTCTGTATCAGTTGAACAAGGTGATGAGATTCCTGGGCGGTATCTCCGGGATTCCCGAGGACCCCGAGAAGAAAGGTCTCCAGGCTGCTGTGCTACGAGTGTTGCAAACACGATTCCCTGGTGTTCGATGTTGTGCTGCTCTCGTCCGACGAGCCTCGTGCTTTCTGGGGCATCAAGCGGTGAGCCTAGATACTGAAACACGATTGCAAATTGGCAGACATGGTCAACGTGTCCCGAATTTTGTAGTGTCCAGCGTTTATGTATATATATATATATATATATATATATATATATATTCATACATATATATATATATAAACTTTGTAACGCGTGGTCGACCACCCGTCGGTGCCATCAGGGTCCTGGCCGATGTTTGTTTGGGTGTTCCAACGTAGGTGGGGCGACCTAGTACATTACCTTTGTTGTCCTGTAGCCGAGCCTGCCTTATTTGAGCTTCTCCCGAGACTTGACCCAGAGTTTCTGAATCTTAGTGGCCCTGAGAAGGCCTGCCCGCACCTGTTCCCAGGAGATTTGGATTCTCTGGTCAGTTGTGCCATTTACCAAGACATCTGTTTTCATTATTTTAACCAGTTCCGCAATGCTACTAGGAAGCTGAATCTTCAGAATTTTCTCAGGGCCAGAGCTAAGGTGTTGGCCCAGGGGCGCGCTGGGCTGCGTCGCGTTCTGCAGGGAGGACACGCGGGGTTGGGATGAACGCACCTCCTCCTCCTCCTCCTCGTCCTCCTCCTCCCTGTCCTCCTCCTCCCCCTCCTGCCTCTCCCTCCTCCTCCTCCTCCTCCTCATCCTTCTTCGCTCTCCTCCTCCCTCTCCTCCTTCCTGCTCCTCCTGCTCCTCCCCCTCCTCTTCCTGCTATGACTCGTCCTCGTCCTCCTCTCTGCTCTCCTCCGGTCGTGCTCCCTGGTTCATGCTTCGCTGTCCGCTCTCCAATCTTCCATCCTCTGGCCTCCTCCATCCTGTTTCCTCCCCCTTCCCTCCCTCCACCCTCCCTTATGCCTCCCTCCCTCTCTCGCTCCTTCGCGCTCCTCCCTCCCCCTCCCTCCCCGTAGCGCCCGTAAGCCACCCGAGGTGAGCTGCGGTGTGACCATCGACGGCACGACCCCTCCCGACCACGAGCAGTACTTCATTCACCGCTACTGGCGTATGAGGTCCGCCGGGGGCCTAATCCCCTCCTGCCCCTCCACGTGCCCCGCCACTCCCTGCCTTGTTTTCCCATCCCTTCCTCTCTCATGCCATTCCCCTCTCTCTTTCTGTCCCTGTCTCACTCTTTCTTTCTCTCTCTCTCTCTCTCGGTCTCTCTCTCTTTTTTTTTTTCTCTCTCTCTCTCTCTCTCTATCTCTTTCCCGCTCTCTCTCTCTCTATTTTTCTCTCTCTCTCTCTGTCTGCTTCCACCCTTTGTTTGGATCGCAAGGAGATTGGGGCGGTTGACATAATACTGGATGCGCGTTGGACGCTCATTTCAGCTCACGAGTGGACGCACACGGGGACATCAATATACACACACATATCTACATATATGAGAGAGAGAGAGAGAGAGTGATCCACCGCCGATTTACTGTGGATGATTCCCCCCCCTCTTCCTCAGGAACCCGGGAACCCGGGGTTCCCCCCCCCTCGAAAATCCTCCCCCCCTGCTGGACCCCCCCCCCCCTTCCCCCTGCACCCCCCCCACCCCTAACCCCTTCCCCCCCCCCTTTCGGAAAACCAGAGGGGTTCACTACGGGTTCGAACCTCCCCCCCTTCCTCCCAGAAAACCAGGGGGGGGGGGTCACTACCGGTTCGAACACCCCCCTCGCCGCCGGCAAACGATTCCCGCTCCTCGGGACAGTGGGACAGCGGAAACCCGGGGGGGGGTCATTACCTGTTCGAACCGCCCCCACCCCCCACCCCTCCGGGAAACCGAGGGGGAGTTACTACCGATTCGAGCTCCCCCCCCTCCCCCCCCCTCCAGAAAACGGGTGGGGGTCACTACCGGTTCGAACCCCCCCCCCTCCCCCCCCTCCCTCCAGAAAACCGGGAGGGGTCACTACCGGTTCGAACCCCCCCCCTTCGCCGCCAGCAGACGACTCCCGAATCCCCCCCATCGTCCGCACCGCATCCCCCACCGCTGTCCCCAGCACCACCGTCCACACCACCACTGTCCCCACTTTTCCCACCACCGTCCCCACTGTCCCCACCAGTGCCCCCACCACTGTCGCACTGTCCCCACTGTCCTCATCACTGTTCCCACCACGGTCCCGCTCTCCCCACTCCCCATTTTCCCCACGGTCCCCACCCCTGTCCCACGGTCCCCAGTGTCCCCACCGTCCCACTGTCCCCGCCGCTGTCCCCCTGAGCTGTCCCACTGTTCCAACCACTGTCCCCACTGTACCCCTGTCCCACTGTCCCACCACCATCCTCACCACCGCCCTCACCACTGTCCCCACCACCACCGTCCCCACCACTGGTCCCAATGTCCCCTGTCCCTACCACTGTCCCACTGCCCGCACACCACAGTCCCCACCACCACCGTCCCCACCACTATCCCACTGTTCCCACCTGTGTCCCACCACTGTCCCAGTGTCCCCACTGTTCCCACCATTGTCCCCGCTGTCCCCACCAATGCCCCCACCGGTGTCTCATTGTATCCACTGTCCCGACCATTGTCCCACCACCGTCCCCACTGTCCCTATTGTCCCCACCACCGTCCCACTGTCCCCACTGTCCCCGCTGTTCCCACCACCGTCCCACTGTCCCCACCACAACCGTCCCCACCACTGGTCCCAATGTCCCCACTGTCCCCACCACTGTCCCACTGTCACACCACCGTCCTCACCACCGCCTTCACCACTGTCCCCACCACCACCGTCCCCACCACTGTCCCAGTGTCTGCACTGTCCCCACCACTGTCCCGCTGTCCCCTCACCACTGTCCCCACCACCACCGTGCCCACCACTGTCCCACTGTCCCCACACTACTGTCCCCACCACTACCGTCCCCACCACTGTGCCACTGTCCCCACCACTGTCCCATTGTCCCGAAAGCGAGAGTCGTTTGCCGGATGCGAGGGGTGGGGTGGGGTGGGGTTCGAACCGGTAGTGAGCCTGGTTCGAACCGGTAGTGACCCCCCCGGTTTTCGAAGGGGGGGGGACGGGTTGGGACCCCCCAGTGACACCCCTTCGGTTTTCCGCCAGCAGCGGTAGAACGCGCTCTTTACATGTATATGTATATGTATGTATGTGTATACATATATATATATACATATATATATATATATATGTAAGAATAGCCTGTCTATCGACCAGTCCATCTGTCCATATAACTACCTCCTCATTCTACGTACTTCTACCATCGCACGATTATTCGATTTCTCAATCGCACGATCTGTCTATCGGGCTAGCCGTCGGGACAGCCAGCGGGACAGCCATCGGGGCAACCACTACATATTTATAGATATCCCCCCTGTCGATTGGCCTTACTGTCTTGTGGTCCTGCATTCTCTCTCTCTCTCTCTCGCTCTCGCTATGTATGTGTATATATCTATAAGATGTATCGATCTGGCTAGCAATCAGCATGTCGATCTCGCAATGAATATGTCGATTGGGCACATCATCGAGACAATAGTCGGGACAGCCAACAGAACAACCATCGGGAAAGCCATTCGGACAACCATCGGGATAACCTTCGGGACAACCATCGAGAACGTCTCAACTACGCTCTTTGGCTGTGCCACTCGGGCTTCAGGATGTCCTTGGCTGCAACACGTCTGCGTCCTGCGCGATGGCTGCGAAGGAGATGACATCAGTGTCAGGGCGCCTCCCTAAACCCATTCGGTGGCAATACCATCGTTGTCGCTGGGCATGTCCTAGTTGATGACGGTGCTGACCCAGCCTGTATCGAATGCGTTCTTGAAGACTTTTGTGAAGACCAGTCTACGCTTATTGGGCGCCTGGGACTGCCCCAGCACTCCTTTGGCACTTTCCGCATATATATATATATATATATATATATATGCCAGAGCGGACGGCGGAAGTGAGGTGACCGCACTCTTCGAGAGCGAGCCGCCCAGCGCTGTAGTGCCCGGAGCCGACGAAGATGGCAGGAACCCTCCGCAGAGTTGATAGTATACGCAACCTGTTTGTTGTTTCTAGTTCCCCACACGGGCGGGAAGGATAGCGACGCAAACCTACACAACATAAAACCTAGAACAATCCGGCCCGGCGAAGCGGTGGGGGAATGCTAGCGAGGAGGGGTAGGTTTATCATACGCGGTGGATCAGGGGGTGACAACGTGAGGTGTTTGGGGGGGAAGGACGAGCGTACGGAGGGAGGCGAGGGAGTGAGGAGGAACGAGCGACAGGGGAAGGATGAGGAAGGGGACAGGAAGAGGAGGACTGCAACAGCCCGCGCTTGAATTCCTCCTTGCTGGTGGTCCCATTGGCGTCGTGGACAGGGCAACGGGCACGCCACCCTCGTAGTCGGAGGTTTCGCCACCACGATGGGAGTGGAGAGTTAGCTTCTAACAGCCAGCTCCTGGTGTCATATGTAGGCGCATGTCCAGTCTGCAACACTTCACCTCGAAGCGCGCTTTGAGTTTGTGGACGGTCCCTCGCGCGCTGGCTATATCCGAGCGCAGCTCCAGCATATGTGTGGCGTTGGAGCAGATGCTGGGCATTGTCGCTGTTCGCTAGGGACTTTCCCACCTTGTGGCTGCCGCCTGCAGTGTGGGCCAGGCCCCCCTTCCAGTGCGGGCGGGGGCCCTGGAGGGGGGCCCCGCGGCCCGCGTGGTGGCGGCCAGGGGCGGCCGAGGGGCGGCAGGTGCCAGTAGCACGGCGGGGGGCGGCACGGGGCAATGGCTCGAGGCTCCGAGCGGAGCCGTCTTTTTTTTTGGGGGGGGGGGCGCCCGCGCGCGCCGACAAAAAAGGGTGGTGGGGCACCGGCGTTCCTCGCACCAGCCCCGCTCGCGATGGGGCTCCGTGGCCATCTTCGCGCGCTTGCCGCCGGGCGGTCGGCGCGCTCTCTGCCTCGCGAGAGGGAGGCCTCGCCGCGGCACGGGGCACAGGGCCCCGCGCGGGGGCTGACGAACTCGCGCCCGGAGAGGGTCGGGCGCCCTGCGGCGCTCGACCGCAGAGCCTCGGCCTCCTCGTCGTCGCCATCGGCATGGCAGCACCGTCAGCGGGGGGGAGGGGCGGCCCGAGTGGCGAGGGCTCGTCTCGGGCACCGAGCGAGCGAGGCGGCACGTTAGGATCCGCCTGCGGTCAGGAGGCGAAGGTAGGAGGAGAAAGCGCCCCAGCCTCCCCTCCCTGGGCCTCCCTCCCGCTCCCCAGGTTCTGCCCTCCCCCAGACCTTCGCTCTCCAGTTCCTTTCCCATCCTCTCTCCCACCATTCCTCCCCTTTTCTATTTCCCCTCGGTTTTCCTTCTGTTTCGCCATTCCCCTCTGCCCCCTCCCGCCCCCCCCGCCCCCCCCCCGTTTTCTTCCCCGCTTTCCCATCCACTCCACTCCTCTGGCCTCCCCTCCTCACTTCTAGACTCCTTCGTTGGAAGGCCGCAGAAACCCTGAGCCCCATAAGACCTTTCTCAATCCTCGTCCCTCCACATCCGTTCTCCTGCACCTCATCCCTCATCCTTCATCCCTCCTCCTCCTGCCTCTCTCCCGCCCTCTCTCCCCCTTTCCATTATCATGCTCCACCCCCTCTCCTCCTCCTCCTCCTCCTCCTCCTCCTCCTCCTCCTCCTCCTCCTCCTGCTCCCCCTCCTCCTCCTGCTCCCCCTCCTCCTCCTCTTCCTCCTCCTCCTCCTCCTTCTCCTCCTCCTCCTCCTCCCGCGGCCCCTGGTCAAGTGGGCGACGGCTGTTTGGGAAGGCCGCCACGAGGAGCTGATGCAGCGGGCCTGGAGGCGAGCCTCGGTCGCGGCCGCGCAGGCAAAGCCTGACCGTGCTCTGCTTCTGCCGTGCTCGCCACTCTCCGTCGGACGTTTGGGAGTTGACCCTCGTTTTCGGTTGTTCGGGACCACCTGGGGTGTGTTGCGACCTTCGCCGCGTCGCTCCCACCTGTCTCAAGAAGTTGATGTTTGCCCGACTTGAGTTTGTTGAGCTTTCTGCCTGGGCCGCCGCTAGAAGCCTTGGGATCACTCGGCCTTTTTCTGGAGCCCGTCAGGGCTCTCCTCCGCCGAAAGGCTAACCGATCGCCGCAGAGGAGATGACGCGATTCTTGGCCCCAAGAGAAAGTCTGGCGTGCGGGCTTTGGGGACGACAGGTCCTGCCAGGCGCGTGGTTCGAGGTGGGCTGTCAGCACCACCACATGTGCCGTTGTCCTCGTCAGGAATCCGCTCGAGCGGAAACAGCCGAGGCGGAGAATCTCCAAGGTTTCGTGCATCGAGCCGAGACTTCCTCCTCGGACTCTCTTCTCTTCTCGCGTGGCATTGCCGAGCACCCCTTGAATGATCCCTTCCTAGACCGCACGCCTGCCCAGGAGGAGCTCAACCCCAGTTTTAAAACCCCGCCCCTGGTCAGCGGCTAGGCCTACTCCGACGGCTCGGACAAGGGCCCGCCAGGGCTCAAGAGTTTTGGTTGGGGTTGCGTTTTTTTCTGGACCAGGAGGGGGCTGGCTGGGGCCATGCATGGCCCCCTCCATGGGCTCCGATGCCAGGCGTGTGTTCTTCGTGCTGAGATCTATGGTCTGATGAAGACCCTTGAATGCGCCGCCCCTCCCCTCCGAGTTGGTATTGACAACAGCACCGCCATCCGAGGTTTGAGGCGTGGCCGCAAGTGGTGTTGCTCTCACAAGCGGCCTCACGCCGACCTCTGGGACCGTGTTTGGTTTTTGCTCCAGGAAAGTTTCTTCCTGGGGGCGACGATTTTGCCGTTGTGAATGTTCGTGCCCACACCCGCGGGCCTCGAGGCAACTCCCAGGAGGCGGAGCTCGATTTCCAGGGAAACCAGTTAGCTGACGCTGAGGCCAAGGCGGGGGCCGATCTGCAGGCGATTCCCCAGTGGAAGAGCGCCACCTTGACCTCGCGGTCCGACGAGGTGCAGGGGGTGCTCAGTCTGGTGGCGGGGTTGACTGTTCGGACGGGGGGCTTCGAGGATTCCACGGGGAGGCCCGCCGCAGGCTCCGTCGGGCCCCGTCAGCGCCGCCAAGGCCCACCAGCGGGGGAGAGAACCCACACCCTGGTCTGGACTCGCATGGCTTGGAGGTGCACGGTCTGCTGTAGGTATGCCCTGTCCCCCTAGGCCAAGAGGGCCCTGAGGCGCAAGCCGTGTATGGGGAAGGTTCGGGTGGATCGTCGTTTCGTCGTGGAGCGGGGGGAAGGGGAGCACCTTATCCCACCAGCACTGCGCGGTGAGGCCCTTGGCCATGAGTTGCACCGCGCAGGTCATTTTACTTGCTGCGATCGGCGCGGTGTCTTTTCGAGCGAGCGGGGATGTACATTGGTGCAGGTGTGTGTTGGTCGGCCCGCCAACGCCACCGCCGAGTATCGCCGCTCGCTCCTGCGCCGATGCAGACATCCTTATAACGCGAAGCTCTTCCTAGGAGAGGCGTGCCGCTCACTCTTACAGTGTGAGCGGGGCGCCTTCTGGGAGAGATCTCTGGACTGGAAAGTGGACGGGCGAGTAGAGGCACCTTCTCAGTGTGCCCGCCCGTCCACTTAATTTCCCCCCCAAGGCTGACTGAGGCAAGGTTTGCCAGGTTGGTTCTTGCAGCAAAACCTCCTCCTCCTCCTCCTCCTCCTCTCTCTGTCTCTGTCTCTGCCTCTGCCTCTGCCTCTGTCTCTGTCTCTGTCTCTCTCTCTCTCTCTCTCTTCTCTCTTCCCAGCCTGTGGGTCATCCTGACGCGGCCATCTCCCTCCCTTCTCCGCCGCCTCCTCCTCTCCCTTCCCCCTCATCGCCCCCCTCGGCGTCCACGCTGGCTCCGCCGCCCCGAGCCCGTAGGCTGACCGAGCCCGCGGCCGCGTCCGTCCGCGCGGCGCTCGACCTCGCCAACGCCACGGTGGCGCACAGCAACCTGGGCGCCGCGGGCGCGCCGCCCGGCCGGGGGGGAGCCAGGGGCTGGCAGGGGGAGGGGGGGAGGAGGGTGGGGTGGGGGGGGAGAGAGAGAGAGAGAGAGAGAGAGAGAGAGAGAGAGAGAACGAGAGAAAGAGAGCGGAGGACGCGTGGGAGAGGATATTCTGGTTTTAGTGTTAGTGATGGGTGATGATGAAGATGATGATGAAGGTGAGAGGAGGAGGAGGAGGAGGAGGAGGAGGAGGAGGAGGAGGAGGAGAGAAGAAGAGGAGGAGGAGGAGGAGGGGAAGAGGAGGAGGAGGAGGAGGAGGAGGAGGAGAGGAGGAGGAGGAAGGAGGAAGGGAGGAGGAGGAGGAGGAGGAGGAGGAGGAGGAGGAGGAGGAGGGGAGGAGGAGGAAGAGGAGGAGGTGGAGGAGGCGGAGGAGGCGGAGGAGGAGGCGGAGGAGGAGGAGGAGGAATACTACTAGTACTATTAATCAGAAGAAGAGGATGCATAAGAAGAGTAATAATAAGACGACGAAGAATGATAATCAGAAGAAGGATAAGCATCATACACTTAATAATAGCAATACTAATAGTAATAAGAAGAGGAATAATAATATCAAGAATAATAATATGACGAACAAGAAGAAAACGAATCATACTAATAAATACAATATGCAAACTAAGACGAAGAATAATAAGAACAACAATAAGACTAATAACAATAATACGAATACTGAGAAGAAGAGGAGGATGAGGAGGAGGAGGAGGCTCCTCCTCCTCCTTCTCCTCTTCGCCATCCTCTTCTCTGGTTGCTTATCGTATGTGCTTCTCTCTCCCTCCTTCGGCCCCCCTCCGTCCTCCCTTCTTCCTCCCTCCCTCCCTTGCCTGAGGGCGCCCGAGTGTGCCCCCCATCACACGTGGGACCTCCGGTCATTGGGGTTGTGGTCCAGGGCTTCTTTGAGGCCGCCGCCGGAACCGGGCCTCTTTGAGGCCTGGCCCAGTGGCACTCCTGGCCTGGCAATGGCTTCTTGTCGTCGAGTAATGAATCACCGACGCAAAGTATGATGGGCAGCGCTGGGTTAATTTGGAGACGCAGGAGGAGGAGGAGGAGGAGGAGGAGGAGGAGGAGCGATTTGAAGAAGCGACGCGCCGAGTGCGGCAACAAGAATGGGATGGACGGATGGACAGGAAGAGAGAGCGCCATCGCACACAAGCCCTCGCGCCAGCCTGGCGGCGCACGTTTTAGCACGTAAGCGCGGGCCCAGAGATGCGTAAAAGCACAAACGATCAAACACGAGAAAGTAGACAGTGATGGAACAAGGCGCCCAAGGGCCCTTGGAAGATCAGGTACAGGAAGTTACTGGGGTGACACCAGAAGCCCCAGCCACTGCACCGCGGAGTCGCTTGCGAGCATCCGACGGGGCTGGGGGATGGGGTGCCGTTTTCCCTCTTTAGGGTGTCGGCCCGAGGTGAAGTCATCTCGGCGCCATCTCCGTGGGGGATTCTCGTGCCAACAGTGTCCGGTCGCACTGGACGAGACGCTGGGAGCGGGCCGCACGCACAGAGAAGGACCCGCACCGGGTGCATGCCTCTGTGTCTCCAGCTCTGTACAGGAGATGCCCCCTGGCGGCCTCGGGCCGGGCAGGGCCTACGGACGGGAGCACCATGCTGGGAGTGCACGCCGAGGCCATGCCAGGGGCCTCAAGTCTGGGGCGCTTCTTCGAGCCAGGGTCGAGCGCGCCAGTCGCCGCAGGCACGACCCCTCGAGGTCGGCTCTCGAAGCGCACCCGAGGCTTGGTCCGCCCTGTAAAAAGGCTCCGCCGCGTCCTCCAGAGGCCTGGCCTGGGACCTGGGACCAGGAGGGGCAGAGGACGACGTGGCGGACGGGTCAGCAGCAGCAGCAGCAGGAGCAGCGTAAACTGAGATGGGGTTTGAAAGCGTAAAGCACAGCACAAAAAAGAACAGCAGCATCAGGAGGAGGCTCCAGGAGCGGAGGAGTGGAAGACGAGGGGCCTCCGATCCCGGGCCTGGCCCCCCCGGGGCTCGCAGGGCTCCCGTGGGGCTCGAGCTCCTCGCGGGGCCTCTTGCGATGACTCCTGTCCTCGTCGTCCTTCAGGGGTCTCTTGGGCGGCCCGCTGGAAGCGGGGGGAGGCCCGTGGTGGGGTCGGCAGCTCCTCGGGAGGTGGGCTCGGGTCCTGACGCTGCTGCATCGTCGCAGCCGACACAGCAGCACCGGGAGTGGCCTCCTCAGCCCCGCGGTGAGCCGCCGCACAAAGTATGGCTCCGCACGCCTTCCCGCAAGCCCGCGAGCGGTCCGCGCCAAGCGCGGGCACCGACAGCACTTCCAGCCTCTGTAGTGTTGGATGGGCTGGTGCGGCAGTTCCGAGGCAGCCGGGAGGCTCGGGCGTCAGGCCGACGTCTGCGTCCGCCCCGCCGGGGCCGTTGATCACCAGCGGCAGCCGCACGGGGCCGACCTCGGCGCTGGTCACGGGGACGCCTGGCCGCCGGCGGGGCACGGTCCACCACGCCCTTCGCCTCGAGGAGTTGCTGGGCGTTCGCGATCCACGAGGCCATTTGCCTGGCTTGCTCCAGAAGTCGACCATGCTGCTCCACGGCCTCCGGGTCCAGCGCGTGCTTCGCCAGGCCCCGTTTGTCGGCGATGTCCAGAGGAGGAGGAGGAGGAGGAGGGGGAGGAGGAGGAGGAGGAGGAAGAGGAGGAGGAGGAGGAGGAGGAGGAGGAGGGGGAGGAGGAGGAGGAGTAATTAGGAGGAGAGGGGGGGAGGAGGAGAAGGGGGGGCGGGCGAAGGGAGGGGGGGAGATGGGGGTCGGTAGTCGCGTCGTCAGGGGTCGTGTCCGTGGTCGTGGACGTTGTGGAGCCGAGTCGCCATGCCGCTGCCCGTCGCGGACGTAGTGATCAATGTGGCCCTGCTCGCCGATGCTGCCGGGGGGTCGCTGTCGTGGCCGTCCGTGGCGGTCCTTCCTTCCTCCCTTCTTCCCCCTCCTCCCTCCTCCCTCCCTCCCCCCCTCCCTCCCTCCCCCTCACCCTGCCCCCCTACCCCTGCCCCCTCCTCCCGCCTTTCTCTCATTCCATCGTCCCCTCCTCCCCGCTCCCTCCCTCCAAGCATCGTCGTTGTCGTCCTTCCTCTACTGAGCGAAAGAGTGAGAAGGAGAAGAAGGAGAAGGAGAGCCATGTCTATCGGGAGCACCCTGTGGAGGCAGATGAGCTGGCGAGTGTGATCCATCGCGAAGGTTTGACAGGGGCGCAGGTGGCAGTGTGCAGGCACCCACTTCCAGATGCTGCTGCTGATGATGATGCTGATGATGATCGTGAGGATGGTCAGAAGGAAACGGAGAGGATAATGAGAAAGAACACTAGAGTGAGGTCAGCGGTTGAACAGGATGAAGAGGAGGATGACGAGGATGAGGAGGAGAAAGAGGCATGATGATGCCGATGAAGCTGACGCTGATGCTGCTGCTGATGATGGTGATGATGATGATGCTGCTGCTGATGATGATGATGATGGTGATGATGATGACGACGACGAGGATGAGGAGGAGGAGAAGGAGGAGGAGGAGAAGTTGGAGGTGGAAGGCGTCTTTCCTGCCACTGCGCGCCTTTGCATCGCTTCCTCGGGCCTCATTCCAAGGCCCCGACGTGGCGTCGCCGCCGTCGCTGAGATTCTCTGGCGTTGGCGCGACGTACGACGGCAAGAAGGTCGATTTGGTGGTCGAGGCAACCAGCGCGTACGCGTCCGAGGACACGGCGTTCAACGGCCTTAGCGAGGGCAGCATGGGCAGCATCAACTTGGCCGAGTGCAACAGCGTTGACCTGACCTTCACGCTGCTCGACGCCGACAGCGGCGACCCTGCCGCGGTCGGCTCCTTTGACGTCTGGTTCCTGGACATCGACACAGAAGGCCATACCAGCTCTGCTTCCGCCGTTGCTCGCCGTCCGGCTTCTGCAGGGTGCACTCACCAATGCAAGCTTCGAGGCTGAGTGTTGGTGAGGGGACAAGGCATTTTAGGCATTTTGATGGTACGACTTTGCTCCCTGAGTGCTGGACCCCAGCGCACGCCCCGATTCCGCTCGCGTCTGTTTGATCGAATGGCCTTCGGCCAATCCCCCCACCGTGTCTGGGTTGTGGGCCACAGGCCGCAAGGATGCTCGTTGGGATGTCGCGGGAGGCCTTTCGGGGGCCACTTGGGGGCTGTTTTGAGGCCTCTTAAGGGAGCGTTTTGGGGCTTCTAGGGGCGTCTTCGGGGCTCTCTTGGGGCCTCTTGGGGTCCTCTTGGTGTTCTTTTGGGGCCTTCTGGGCGCCTCCTGGGGCTTCGTGGGGCCGAAGAGTCGGATTTTCGGTTCGTGGTCCCCTTCTTGGACACTTCATGGGGCTGTCTTTGGGCCCTCTTGGGCCGCCTTGGTCGCTTCTGGGGCCGTCTTGGAGCCCTCTCGGGCCGTCTTGGGGCGGTCCTGGGGGCCTCTCGGGCTGTCTTGGAGCGTCGGGAGCTCGAAACATAGAAGATCCCCAAATCATTGAAACACTTATTGAACATAATGATTTTGGCCTCTCAGGGCCCTCTTCAGAAGGTCCTTGGGGCTTTCTTGGGGCGTCTCGGAGGCCTCTTTGTCCGTTTTGGGCGTCTTAGTGCTATCTTGGGGCGTCTCGGGGGCCTCTTGGGACGTCTTGGTGCTATCTTGGGGCGTCTCGGGGCCTTCTTGGGCGGTCTGTGCGGCCTCTCGGGTCCCTCTTGGCCCATCTCGGGGCCGTCTCGGGCCCGAAAGAGTCGCGCGAGAAGGTGCGCTGGAACCGAGGGGAACGGCGCCACGCCCAGGGAGATTTGAGAATTTGGGGTCCGGACTGAGGCTCAGAGGATTGGGCAAAGGACCTGCATACACGCCCACTCCGTGCCCAGCGGCACGGTGGCGGATACAGTTGGACATGCGTTGGCCGCTCCAGGTCACAGGGGGGCACATTTCACCTCGCCACATGTCAGGCGGGTTCCGTTAAGTGTGTTGCAAACCTTGAGGTATAAGCTAGCGCGTTTAATTGCCTTCTTGGGCCAGTGCGCGCTGGATTCTCGCAGCTGCTCCTGGTATGGCGCAGCGACGCAGCGGCATACTGGAATTGTGCGATAATTCAACTACGACTTAATTACGGAACACAATCACGGTTTGTGCAGAGGGAAATCCGACGCGTCGCATAGAGGAACGTTGTGGCCCACTGTGTGCCAAGCCAGGTTCGCGTGCTTTGCGAGCGGTGTTGCTTGCAAGATGTGGCAGCTGTTACGTTATGATGCGCAAGATCTGGATGATTCCCCACCCATCCGTCCCGAGCAGCTAAACGACATACTGTCGTGTAGAGGAACGCTTTCTCGAGCGATGCTTAAGCCAATCCGTCCAGAAGGTCGCGACTCGCAGCGGACGTGGAGAACATCCCTTTTCTCTTACCAGGCTTCGTATGCCTTAGTAAGTCAACCGCTTCGTGCACTCCGCCGTCCCATTCTGTAGCATCTCTGGCGCTTGCCTATCTGCTCGTTTCGATTGTGACACTCTGAGGTTGGGGTAGTTTCCTGGAGGCGTTGCGTCACCTGTTTTGGCAAAGGAGCAGTTGCTTTGCAGAGTGATGTCGATGGCAACCGTCATCGAGCATGCTCCCTGTGGGAGCATCCCGTCGAAGTCTGTGATCACTCCGCTGGCGCGCTGGACTCGCGGATGAGGAGGAGGACAACGATCAGGAGGATTCGGAAACGTCTGCCCGCAAGGAGAGGAGGGCGTGATGAAGAGGACCATCATGAGGAGGACGACCATGATGATGCTGATGATGACGATGATGAGGAAGCGGAGGAGGACGAAGAGGATGAGGATGCGGATGAGGATGAGGCTGCTTCTGCTGATGTTGATGATGATGATGATGATGATGATGATGATGATGATGGTGATGATACAGCTGCAGCTGCTGCTGGTGTTGTTGATGATGATGATGATGATGATGATGATGCTGTTGATGATGCTGATGATGATGGTGATGATGTATGTTTAAGGCGATTTCCCCAACCACCGATTCACCTCCAGACCGACATGCAGGAACCACGCGTGTGCTCAAGGGCTCCACCCTGCTTGAGCGCCCAGGTCCAACCCCCAGGCCGGTCTGATCCGCCGCGCCTGCGGCGAAGAAGATGATGTCCTCCAAGTCCCCTGAGGGGAACTGCCGGACCTTGGTACAGCAGGAGAGACGGTCCCGCTGTCATTCGTCCGCCGGTCCCCACATGGGAAAGAAAGTGAAACAAGCCCTGCGTACAGGGGAACGTGCTGCTGCGATGGCGGGGCTTCTTGTCCGGTCCTGGTGGTGGTGCCCCCTGGCGGGCTTGGAATGCTGCTTCCGTCCGAGGCGCCCGAGCTCAACGACCAATCACCCCAAACAGTGGCCTTCTTCGGAGGCCCCAGGACAAGCCGCTGGTGGTACATGCGATGGCCTGGCAAACACTGTCGGGGGAAACCCGCGGACGAGTGAAGGAGGAGGGGAGTAATGAGAGAGGGAAGGGGACGGCATATGGCCGTTCTAGGTCATACATGCGGTTTGGTCGGCACAACCCGTATGCCGAAACCACAAGCCATTGTTGACCAAGGCCCGCTGCTGATGCGAATGCTGCCGACTGTGTTTAAATCTGCTGCCCTGCCTCGCCTGCGGGGGGGTGAGACGAGGATGAGGATGGGGGGTGAAGATTATATAATTAAGAGGGCCGCTGCCCATCGGCCCCACGCTCTGGACTGCTGGCTGGTGGGGCGGAAATGCGGCCGGTTATCACAGCCGCGACATGTTTAGGAATTCCGGTGGTTCCTCACCCCCGCAGGGCAGCCGCGCAGACAGGAGTGCTGGCGATGGCTCCAACCCCTGACCGTCTCGCCACCGGCGGACCCGAGACGGCCACGCTGCCCAGCCACCACAACGCTGGCATTGACGGAGTGGCTGTGGGCATCGCCTGACCCCCCAAAGTCGGAAGGCTCACGTCGTCCAGCTGGGCGAAAGGCTTCAGCAGATGGGTGCCCATGTATGTACCCTGCTGCGCCTCAGTCCAAGCTGATCGTCGCCAGACGTTGAGGTTCCACCAGCTTCTGCACCACGTTGACATGAGGTTTCTCTGCCAAGAAGCCCCTAGGGCAAACGCATCCCGTGACATAGCCAATCCCGAAGACCATGCAGAGTACGCTGTGGTTGCCCGCGGCCATACAGTCGAGCCCAGAAGTCACGCTCCCCTGGTCTGGCCCGGGAAGCTCAGGCTCGGCGAACTCCGGGGCAGGCCCACAGGACCAACTCTCAGTTGGAGGCCACCCGCTCCACCAGGGACCTGGCCCTCTTGGCCAGGTCGGGCGGCGGCGCGGTCCCGATGTGCTTCTTCTAGAACTCGTTGACGTTGAGGTTGAAGGGGCGCTCCTCGAGGTGGTTATGGATCTCGGCCTTGACGGCGCACGCGTTCTTGCTCGGCAGGACAAGCGGCTTCTTCACATTTTTGGGCCGGAGAACGCCGACTGCAACCACTCTGATAGTGCAGTCGCGAGCTCGGCCCGGGGGTGTCTTCGTGCCATCGGGCTCGTCGTCCTCGCGGGTCTTCATCCTGATCTTGGCGTTGACTGCGTCGGCGATCTGCTGGAGCGCCGTCTCGAGAAGACGGTCCCTCCTCCAGCTGGCGGCTTAAGAGGGGGCGGCGGATCTGCTAGGGCCACTGCTGGCCGCGCTGTCCGGCCTCTGCTGCCCGTCGATGAGCGAGTCGAGCTTCTGGCTCAAGAGACGGGCCATCGCCGCGCCCTGCATGGCGCGGCGCTCCTCCTCCTCCTTCTCCTCCTCCTCCTCCTCCTCCTCCTCCTCCTCCTGGCGCTCCTTGTCGACCGACGCCTGGTACTTCGGATCGATCGCGTAGAGCCTCTCCTGGGCCCGCTACACCGAGGTTGCTCAATCCGACCGGTCCCGGCGCCGGCTGTTCCAGGGGCTGGCCGACCTGGAAGCAGACGAGGGTGAGTCGCGGCGCTGGCGGTCCTGGCCCCTGTCGTGGTCTCGATCGCGGTCCTGGCCTCTTTCGCGCTCTCGGCCCTTGCGCCAGTCTCGCTGGTCTCCGCTCGCCACTGCGACGGGGCGGTGGAGTTCCCCATTTTGCCATGGTGCTGCACTCTTTTGGTCGACAAACTCACGGACGACTGCGCGCGGCTTGAGCCACGAGAGACTTCGGAAGGCTGTGCACGAGAGCCCGAAGGAAAAGGGTAGCCCGACTTGTGTTACCCCGCGATGTGTTCCACAACCCAGCCATTGATTTCGTCTGCTTCGGACCCCAGCTGACGGCCCTGGAGAACACGCGCCAAGACCTGGGCCCGACAGAGTCCGAAGCCCCCCACGCGGGGCGGCCGATGCAGGGTAGAATCGCGCGCTTCTCGCGCGGCCCCCGGCCACGCACCTGCGTGCGGTTGGGATTGCGAGGCCGCTGCAGCAGAGATTGGCCTCGAATCCAGATTCCCACATCCAGCCATTCTCCCACTTAGCGAGCCCCTTCAACACCCCGTTGAGGTCCACTGAGTGCCACAGGAGATGCTGCGAGGTAGAATACCCTCTGTAGGAATACCAGAACACACCCGCTGCAAAAACACCTGGAACTTGCAGCGCAGTCACCTGCATACCTGCGCCACGAGACGTAGGTTCGAACGGGCCCAGGGCCCAGGGGGAAGCCAAGAGGCCAATGACCTCCGAGATCGAACCATCAATGTTCTTGCCCCCCCAGTGACACTGCGACTACTGCAGAGGAATAGGGCCCCCGATGCAGATGCCTTGCAGAAAGCGCAGGCGGCCAAAGGCGAGGACGACGGTCATCAAGGTAGCAGCAATGAGTGCCCAGGCCAGGATAGAGAGGGTAAGATGCCATCAACCGTTGCTGAAGCCTTGCTTGGCAACTTGGACCCGCTCTTGAGGCCCCGTGCGCACAAGGGTTACAGCGCAGTGGCATCTCGCCTGGCGCGCTGCTTCCACGTCGCGCCACAGGCCTGCATTCTCTTCAGCACAACAAGCTTCGAATGCTTGGCCGGCGTCAGCGACCGCCGCAGTCAGCTCGCCAGATAGAGATGTGCAACGTCGGAGACGCCAATCTGCGGCGGGCGCGCAGACCTCCTTGGAGATCCCGCAGCGCAGCGCCAGCGCCCTTCATGCTCTAAACTTCCCGGGGCACGCCAGCCTGTTGAGGTGCTCCCCGGCCTCCCCGGGGTAGGATTTTCCGCGCGCGTTTCGCGGTGCACCTCGACTCGTCGATGGTTCTCCTGAAGCAGCTGTGCCTCATTTTCAGAGCGCGTCCGAAAACCATCAGCTCGAAAACACTTGTTGTTTCTATTGGCGAAGGCGTGGGGGATTTGACCAACGCATCGCTGGCGCGCGTTGCGCAGCAGATGGCCAAAGAAAGGGTCCCCCATTTTGCTTTCTAGCAATCTCCCATGCGCGTGCTTCCTTCTTTGCCGTCGACGGCTGACGCTTCCAAATCGGGCCGTTCACGATTGCAGCGTCGAGGGAGGCAGTGAGCTCATCGACCGGGCCTGTCCGCAATAATTTGGCCGCCCGATAGCGTGCTAGACGCGCTTCGATTGGCGCGAGCTCAAGCACCCCAGCCAAATTAATCTCGAACTTGGCTTATTTATCGGGCTGGGATGAAATATTGCATCGGTGTGCTGCGCCGCGAAGCTGCTTCGCCCCTGAGCCCGAGGGCGCCCGGGCATTGCCGGGAGTTCCAAGATCGCCATTGCTAGCGTAGCCCCCGTCGAAGGATTAGTTTTTGGAGCCGCGCTTCCAAGCGTCACGGCCCTTGCCATCTGCGTAAATATCCGGGGAATTGCCGGGGCATTCCTTCGAGCATATTATGGAATATTGATTCGGCGTCCCTGGGCGTTTTGTTGGAATCGATGCAATCGCTCCATCGCTTTTGTTTGGTATGCTTTATGACCAGATGGCGAAGATGCCGCGCCCAAGTCGGGGCGCGCCGCATTTGGTTGACGGGCGAAGACGCGACTGAGCGGACAAGCGCGCGCGCCCCGCCTGCGCCAGACCACTTGGAATCCGAAGCGGGGGCACGCAGAGAGTCAACCCAACTGATTTCAGCAGAGAGTTAACGTCGCAACGAGCCCCAATACGGCGCCACGCCCATCGCCCTGCCATTTGGACATCTGCAACTGGGGGCATTTCGCGGTCGTGAACGCCACGCAAACCACAATGCGTTGCAGGCAGAAAGGCCGGATCGGCCCCGCAACTCCTGCGGCGGCGTGCCGACGGGTTTGATGAAGACGGCGCTGCGCCATGAAAGGCAGGTCGCCCTGGTTGATGCCGCCTCGCCCTGGGGGCCCCCGGCGCAGACGAGCGTCGGGCCTCTGGTCGGAGTCTCATTGCCGCGCGAGCTGGCAAGAGGGTCTCGCTTGCCCCGTCGCCGGGAAATCTGCCGTAATCGACGGCCACGTTTGAAGCTGGCAGGTGAGCAAGTTCCGCCATGACGTCGAGCAGCTGAATCAATATCTCTTCGGTTGCGCAAAGGGCGCTCCATCCTGATCATTGCGGCCTCAATCGCAAACGCTTGGGCCTCAGTTGGGGCTCGGGATAATCGCGGCACTGCCCAGTGAAGGCCGAAGGGCTCTGTGTCCAGGACGGTGTGCTTGGATGTCGCCCAGCCGGGGCAAGGCCTGGATGCGTTCGCGCGCCCGTGTTCCATCGACGCCGCGGTCACTCCGATGCAGATTTGCTTTTTTCCAATAGTCGAGCCGCCATGACTGCTCGGCGCGCGCGTCGCGGCCGCGGCGCTGAGGCCCCCTGGCGCGCGATGCGATGGTAGGGGCCTGGTTGCCGCAAGCGTTTAGCAGACCCTGCACCGCTGGACTCCTCGTGGCGAGCTGGGCGGGCCACGTCGGCGGCATGGTCCGAATTTCCCGCGCAGCCCACCTGTGGGCCCGCCTGCGGGCAGCCGGCGCTTGCTGCCGAGAGATGGGTCAGCAGAGCGACGCTGGTCTCCTGCCGGTGGCATGGCCTCTGAGCAGGAAGCATGGAGTCAACGAGGCAGTATAGCAGCCAACTGAGTTCAATGGCGCCTGGAGTCTGTCCAAGTGCACTGCGCCGCGCCCGTTGCGCAACCTCGTCTTTTTCTGGGCCCGAAATGCTCCGCGTGTACAACTTCATGTGCCGCTGAAGTTCCGCCCCGCACTGTTTGGAAGTTGGTCGCGGCGATCGGACATGTGGAATTCGACGGGAACTTCGAGCAGGGACCCTTCCCATGCCAACCATGAACGAACTCAAATGGACTAGTCCTCGACCGAACCTGCACCCCCGACGGTCACCTTGCCGGGCTTGGGTACAAACGTGTATGATGTATGTTTAGGGCGATTTTCCCAACCACGGATTCACTTCCAGACCGACATCCAAGAGCCACGCGTGTGCGCAAAGGCTCCCCCCTGCTTGAGCGCTTGGGTCGAATTTCCAGGCCGGTCTGATCCGCCACGCTTGCGGCGAAGAGTAAGGAACTTGTAGTATTAATAGTAGTAATTTGATGATGATGATGATGATGATGATGATGATGATGATGATGATGATGATGATGAGGATGAGGATGATGATGAGGATGAGGATGAGGATGAGGATGAGGATGAGGATGAGGATGAGGATGGTGATGTTGTTGATGATGATGATGATGATGATGATGACGATGATGATGATAACCAAGGGGCAAGGCTCACATGCCACATGCCACTCTACATGCAGTTGCGTAGGTGTGGGTCTGTCGCAAGCCTGTTTTTAAGCTTTGCTTGCGCGTTCGTTGCAGGCACGTACAGTTGCATCGCCAGCGACGTCAGGAAGAGCCAGAGAGACAAGATAGCCTGTGGGCTGCGACGGTGTGTAGGAAAATTATGAAGGTCCCTGGATGAAACGTGACAGAAGATTCATATCGGAGTTGAAGAATGGTATCTTCAGCTCCGAAGCGGATCTTAACAAGAGTTGTGCATTTGCCTTTCGGCAGCGATCTAGAGACTTACAGTGTGGCTCAAGCGTCGCCGCCTGGCTGGGCTTCGGCGCCGACTTCGAGACCAGGGTGGACCTCCCCGCGTCTCCCACAATGGGGTGTCCGGCCGCGCGTATCGCACGCAGGACCCCGCGCGCTACCTCCCCGTAGTTCTTCCTGCCTTGGCAGGGCCTCGCGCTTCGTCGTCTCTTCAGTCCTGCTTCCAGTTTCGGCGTCGAGCGCGGGGGGGGTGAATTGGAGAAGGCTTTCTCAGAGGGCGGCAGGGCTTCTCAGAATCCTTGGCGCCTCCCGAGCAGTTTTCTGTCTCTTCGGGGATGGCTTAGAACACTGTTCGAAAGGCTGGGGGACTTCCGAGCCTTCTGAGAAGGCCCGGCCCTTCTCTCTTCTCCCCATCGCTCGCCGCCGACTTCTGCCACCATTTTCATCCGCGCTGGCAGGGCCGCCACACTTGACGCGCCAACCGCCATGATCATCGCCGCGCCCGTGGCGACGCTCGTTGGTGCGTCGATTGCCACGTCAGAGGGCACCCGTGTAGCCATGCTGGCTCAAAGCTCTACGGCTCCGGCCCCACCCGGCACGCCAAGGTGGCCCTCGGCCCCGACCGCATGCGCACGCTGTGGCTGGAGCTGGAGGGCGGCGATTGGACGGGGCTAAGACGAGGACAAATCCGTTCCAGAGCGTTCCGGAACGCTTTCAGAGCGTTCCTGAACGCTCTGAGAAGGCCGCGGCGCCCCAGACGTCCTCCAGAGCCGCGGGATCTCAGAGATTCCCAGGTTTTCCTGACCCGATGTATTTTCCTGCTGTCTTCGTCTTGGGCTGAAGCCGGGCATGTCCCTCTACAAGAGGAGAATTCAAGAATAGTTAAAAGTAATTTGGTAACGTTTTTTAGTGTTTTTTTTTCGCTCATGTTTGATTTGGTTGAACTGTTTGCTCTTCTTCTTGCAAAGTCCGCCTGTAGGAGGAAATGCCCGACCTACAGTCGAGCCGCCTCGTAAGGATGGGCAACCTCCCCAAGGGCACCCTTGGGCACCCTTGCACCCTTGCCTCCTCGGCCCATCCTTGGCCACTTTCGTTGGCCGCGCCCCGCCTGAAAAGCTTCGAAATGGGCGTCCATCCGAGGCATGCAGAAGGTGGATGCGAACATATTCGGGCCCCTGGGGGCAAAGATATATCCATATCCACCGCCCGCTGGGGCACCAGGACGTCGGTTCTCAGGCGGTGGATATGGAGAAATCCCCGCCTCGCAGTCCAAGGCCCTCGCATGCTCATCGTGCGTCCTTATGATACGGGCCGACTGTAATCTCAGGCGAGGACCTGCGGGCGTCGTTGTGCGCCCGCGGCGGCGAGGCGCCCGATCCCGCGGCGGAGGCCCCGGCGCTGCCCAGGACTCGAGCAGCTACAGTCAACCCGCGCAGTAAGGATCCCAGGCCCCCTCGGGTAACGAACAAATCGCGACGGAAGGTTTTTCCCGATTTTCGGCCTCTGGGGGCCCTCGCTGGGGCTCAGGACTGTCAAGGAACGACTCGGCATGGAGAAACGGTCCCCGGGGAGGGGATGATTTTCCGTGCTCTTTTGATTATGTTTTATCTTGCAGGATCATCCAGGATCCTGCAAGGCCCGACAGACCTGGGTCTGGACTGACCCAGGTCAGTAGATACCCAGAGTAGGGCACCGAGTCCAGAATGTATCTATCCCAACATCGATGTTTCCGTCGACATCACACAAAAAGAGTGCTCCGTGGATCCATCGAGCATTCTGCTCCTTGTGCTGTAATATTCGACGGACGCATTACTTGTGAGTTCGGCGCCATCCCAACATACTAATTCTGTGTGTGTGCGTCGTCGCCCCCCCAGGGGCGACGCGAGCACCGAGAAATCTTATAGTATATGCGTCGTGGCGGGCGCTTTCTGGCCACTTCGCTCGGGAAACGATCTACTACAAGATGGGTATACTATACGTTCGGGTCGGACGCGCGCCTCCAAGGAGGACATATAGTAATAGTATGTCCCTGTGCGTCCCAAGGTAAGCCAATGCTGTAGTCGATCCCCTACCCGAAGGATGGCGAGCCTGCTGCGGCGCCTGCTGTGGAGCGGCCTCGCTGCGCTGGGCGCGGTCGCGTCGCTGATCCTGCTCCTCTCGAGGGCCGCGGGCCGCGGGGCCGGCCGGGCAGGGGAGGACTCGTAGACGAGGGGCGGTTCAAAGATGGGCGGTTCCTGGTTTCGCTTGTCCCAGAACTGCGGGATGTCCGTGCACCGATTCGATGGCACATGCATCTGCCTCGATGCTCCGGTCCAGGGTTTATGATTCGGGCCTGGCGGGTAGCACGTGAGTGCGTGCATTCGGCAGCCGGCAGCCCGACTGTGGTGACATCGAGCTGTGGACGTTGGTTGGTGCTTCGCGTGTTCCCTTCCCTTCTCTTTCCTCTCCTCTCCAAAATTGCGCTGGAGGAAAATATGGGGGGGCTGAGGGATTAAGGACGAGGTGCCTCAGACAATGCAGATCCGCCCTGGGATCGTGATCGTTTTCTTATGCGTTGTTTTGCCAATCTGCGCGGGTCCCTCGCATCCCCTTCCCCCCGACCCCATGGAGTAACTAGATTGTGGTTTTTGGCGCCTGTTTCAAGCATGCGGAGTCTCCCCCATAGGACGCCCTGTTGCAAACAGTCGCATTCAGCAGAGGTCCAGAGCCAGACCCCCCCTCCCCCCCCCATTCTGCCCAATGTCGAAACGCCGAATACGAATAAGAACACGTTCTCAGGACCCCATCTCTGAACCACCGAGGCGAGCAAAAATGCATCCATGTCCACGGCGCTGGGCCCCTGGGCCGCGACCCCGCGGAAACGGAGCGCTTTTTAGGGGATGCCCCTTGAGCAACGCAACCAGGCGACCGCGTATCCGCAGGATCGCGCGCCCCAGAGCCCAGACCGCGAGGGCGTGGATATGGATGCGTTCGCTGCTCGTGAAGGACAGCCGAGGCTTCGAGCTGCTGTTCGAGGGGGAGGTTCGGCGGCAAGCGAAGGGGGGGCAGTGAGAGGGAGAGGGCCTTCTCAGAAGGCGGCGGGACTTCTCAGAAGACCTCGCGCCTCCTGAGCAGTTTTCTGCGCCTTCGGGGAAGGCTCAGGAAATCTCTCAGAAGGCCCGGGGACTTCCGAGCCTCATGAGCAGGCCCGCCCCCTTCTTGTTGGTGGCTTTCGGGCCATCGCTCGGGTCCCCCGGTGGCCGTTCGGGGCGATCCGGGCTCCCCCGGAACGCCCCCGGCGAGGCGCGGCTGCCGGACAGCACCCCCGCGTTGCTGGAACATCGCCGAGGACCGACGACGACGCCCGAAAGCCTCGCACCTCGAAGCTCGAACTTCTCCCCCGGGCTCGCCGCTGAGAGGTGCCCCAGGAGGACTTCGCCGTGCACGTTGGCTCCGTGTGCTTCGGCCCCTCGGAGGTGACATATAGGCCTCCTAGGTTGGGTCCGAGCAGATGGGGTCGGAGGGTCGCGCCGCATAGCCGATGCATCGCCGGTGCCGCGCGATGCGGAGCCTGATTTTCTCAACGCCGACGTCGCCCGTGCATCGGCGATGCCGCGATCCTCTGACCCCATCTGCTCGGACCCCATGTAGGAGGCCACTAGGTGATCGGCGGCCCCGGGAGCTCCGAGGCACGGTGGCGCGCGCAGGGAGCGTGGCGCGAGGGGGGCGGCCTTGAGAGAGCAGGGCTCGGGTGCGTCTTGCTGGGACGGCGCGGGGGTTGCCAAGGGGATGGGAGGGCTAGCAGTGGATGCCAACGTTGGTTATAGGTTGCCTAACCTGGCTCACTCGTGGGTTGCTAATGCCCCAAGTGGCTTGGGGGGACAGCGATCTAGGCGAAGTGGGCTCCCACTTAGCCGAGTTGTTTAACCCCCCTAAGCCACTCGGGGCATATACAACCCGCTTCTGAGCTAGGTTAGTGTCAGCTGGTACCTCGACCGGGGCCCGCGGCTATCGGCACAGCGGAAAAAGGTTTCACGAAAGCTCCGAGGGTTCGTTGCTCGCGACCACCGCCTAACTGGGATCCTCTATTGCAGCAGATCGAGTTGGCGACGTCGGCGTCTGATCTGGCACTTGCATGGGATTAGCTGAGGTTTGGTGTGGAGATTGAGCTGCAGGGGCGCTATGTCATTGTTGGGAAGTCAGCCAAGCAGTTCATCACCAAGCATGCGCCGCCCGAGTTCTGCTGGGACAAGTTCGACCCTGAAGTGCGGGAGTCTTGGAAGCGGAAGGCTCCTGAAGTCGCAGTTTGGCTCACGGCTGCCAGGTGGGCCAGACACTTCCGCAGACTACGTGCAGCTGTGGTGCCATTTATTCAGAAGCTCACTGGACAGCCGGCGTTTATGCTGCCGGGAGGAGGAGGTCAGGCCCCCGACTGCTGAGGGAGTCGGTGCTGCGTGAGCAGGGCCTCCCACGCCTGCCGTCGTTGCGCCGTGCGCAACAAGCAGTCGGCCCCTGACCTCCTCTTCTTAACTGAGTACGGTTGTTGTCTCTGGATCTGCTGGCTCGCATGTTGCGTCATCGTCGGCAGCAGTACCCAGGCATTACCCAGCGGAGCTGTGCAGCAAGACGGCCAAACATATCCTGGAATTGGAGCGTTTTCTGCAACGAATATAGTGCTGTTCCTCTGTATGTGTGTGTGTGTGTGTGCGTGTGTGTGTGTGGGGCATTTGGGCAAGTGGGCGTCCGAATTCTTTTCCCGTGAGATGGCCTCCTTTGCAGATGCCAACGTTGAGCTGCTGGTAGACAAGTTGTTGACTAAGGCTGAGGCAGTGCAGCGACGGCATGATCAGAAGGTCGCGGCATCCTGGAAGGCCTGGGCGGAATCTTCTTTCGCTGGAGGGGCCAGTCGAGCCCACAGGTTTCCCAAGCCATCGGCACTGCAGGGAGTTGTTGATTACGGAGCGGGCGCGCAACATGCGTACCGTCTGGCCGACAGGAAGCCCGAATCCTGCAATGGTTTCTGGCAGACGCATGCGGAGCCACCCGTGACACGGCGTCTTGATGCTGCTGAGTGGGATCGGTTTCCTATGCTGTGCGCCGATGATGTGCGCAGGGCTATTCGGTCGTTCAGCTGGAAGACGGGAGTTTGTCAGGTCAAGATTGCGCCGCGGGCACTCATCTTTCGGGTGTTGCCATTCACGCCATGGCCTGCCTTCCATTCACAAGTGTGAGCATGTGTTGGTGTGGCCCGAGGCTCGACTCATCACGAAGCTGGTCAGGCTCCCCAAACCTGGCGGAGGTGAGCGGCTCAGCGCTCCCCTCAGCACACTGATCCGTGTGTGGAGACGTGCCAGACGTCCTTTGTCTGCCCAGTGGGCTAAGTAGCATGCCAGTGAGGAGTTTGGGGGCCATGCGGGGGGGGGGCGCTCTTCCACTGACGCTGCTTCTGGTTTGGCTCTGGAGAAGGAAACTGCGCAGTTGGTGGGCTAGGTTGTGCTGCTGGATGTGCTGAAGTGCTCCGAGATGGTCACACCGTATGCTTATGATTGTTTTTCTGAGGCTCGTCGTGGTTGCCAGGGCATTCTTGCTGGATGCACACACGCCGCGACGCTTTTGATGGTGTTGCTGGCGCGTAGCACCAGATTGATTTCGTCGATTGCCAAGGAGGTGCGCCCTCGCGACTTGGTGGACGACGTTGCTCTTTCCTGGGCTGGGCATGACCCGAGATGTTTACGCATGATCGCCACGGCCGCCAGGGTAATACGTGAAGCAGTGCGGCCTCTGGGCCTCGTGCTGCAGCTCGAAAAGTCTGGTCATTTGGCGGTCACGCGGCAGGCTGCCTGCCACTTCAGAGGGCTTGCGCGGGTGCTCAGGCCAACGGCACATGCGCTACCTGGGTCACGATCTGGCGGCGTCGTCGGCAGTGCGAGGTGTGTAGAAGCACGGGCTCAAGAACATGGCGTGCTCGCAGACCTTGGTTGACAGCGTTCTTGCGTGGAGGTGGGCGCGCTCGTGCTGCTGGGCTTTGGACGTCTGGTGTCTTGCCATGTGTGGGGCATGTCGCAGCGGTGTCTGGCATCAGCGGTGGCGAGCTCAAGCAGCTCCGCAGCGTCGCTGGCAGCGGTCGTGGCTTCAGTGGCTCTGCTTCCCTCGTCTTGTACTTGGCGGTGCAGGAGCAGAAGACCTGCGGCCCGATCTTTCATGCGTCCTGGTGTTTGCAGCGCAGTGCTCTGCTGGGGTCTGGGACGGCCGAGGCTCTCCTGCTCGGCTGCAGAGACCTTGGGTGGCCTTGATGGGGTAACGTTGAAGGCAAGCTTTGTTCGTTTGCGTGGGCGAGTACCAGATGCCCACTGTCGGCCTTGTGGCTTGCACTAAGACGCATTGGCTGGGAGATGGCCAGCGCTGCGGTGATTATTGATGACTGTGGCGTGGCCATCGACTTGTGCCGCGTGTGCCCCAGCGAGGTGGGGCACTTGCTCTCCTCCAGCATCCATCGAGAGGCGGCGGAGTCGTCGCATCTTGGATCGCCCCCCTTGGAGCGCCACCGCGGCAAGCTGACGGACAGCGCCAGCACGTCTGGATGCGGGCTCTGATGCATGCCCATCTGCAGAGGTTGTCGAACGGCCTCCGCGGGGCACTCGCCTAGCTGCGGCCTGGCGGGTTGTGGGCGCCTGCCCGTCGCCAAGCTGCGGGTTGCACGGCTGGCGGCACTGGTGAGTTTTGCGGCCATGCGCCTGCCGACCTGGAGCATGGGGGTTGCTTCTGCCGCGTTCGCGAGCAGCGGGGGGGCGACGAGCAGGCCCCCCACCCCGATGATGCGCTGCAGCTGCGGAAGAACATGTGGGATCAGGGGTTGCGGGTGTTGGGGCAGAGCGCGATTCCTCTGCCATCGACAAGCTCTACGCCATTTCCCTGAGATCCGCCTTTCGCCCGACCGAGCCCCAGATTCTGCCCGTTAGAGATTGGGGTGCTCGGGGGGCGCCATGGGCTTGCAAACTTTTTGGTGACGGCTCTCGTTTTGAGGGTGACTTTCCCGCGGTCCGTAGGCGTGGATGGGCCGCGGTTGCTCTTGCCCCGAACCGGTTGCTTTTCACGGAATTTCCGGAGGCCTCGGAGGCCCGATCCAGACGGTTCCCAGGGCAGAGAGCAGAGAGGTCCGCGGCGTCTCGTGGTCTCGAGCTGGCGCCCCAGGCCGTCCGAGTTCGTGACTGACCATCTGGCGCTGGCCACTGAGGGGGCCCCGTGGCTTGGTGAGCGTGCCAGAGCCTCGGCCCCCCATGCTGGCATTTGGCGCCAACCTGCCTCGTTCGTGCGCGTCTGATCCTGCCCGCCTGCCTCGGCCCTCCTGGCCCGTGCCCGCAGGTCTGTGGCTGAGGGCACTGCGGCGTGCCTGCAGTCGGAGGACCCCCCTCGAGAACTCTGTCGGTGATCTGTGGGCGGACTGCTTCGCCAAGCCTGCCGCCCTCGACGTGGCAGTCTCGGCATCGGCGGTCGCTGCTTTCAAGCTCGGGTTTGAGCGGGCCAGGTTGGGGATGCGATGGCTTGCTTTTGCGGCTGGGCGCGTGGCCCAGCTGATCCCTGAGGTCCGTCGTCCTCTTCCCTTGCCCAAGCGCGCCCCGCGTGCTCGGGCGCCCACCGCCCGCAATTGTGTTGGTTTCCCGAGAGGGGCGATCGGCTGCAAGACCCGTTGTCGCCGGGCTATCACCCGGTCTTCCCTCCGGCCCCTCTCGTCTCGAGTTTGCCACCCGCGCGTGGTCGGGCCAGGTCGTTCTGTCCAGGAGCTCGGCAGTATGTATTGATTTGTACGGGGTGCGGGGCACATGCCATGCGACCGCATCGCCAGTCCGTCGGTCCGCGCCTGCCGCCCCTGCGGGTAGGAGGGCGGTGCGGGCGCGGGCGGGGGGGCGGGGGGGAAGGTGAAGAGGTTGCTGCGGGCGAGGCGCTCGGGCCGCTGCTCCTGGCCCCGCTCGCGCCAGACCTGGCGCGGGAGGCCCCCGGGGCCGGGGGGGCGGAGAATCTCGGGCGTCGCTGGCCAGAGCCAGCGCGCACCATCCCTGGCCGCGGAGACAGCGACACTGATGAGACATTTAGGAGCCTGCTCCATACTTGTCTGGGTGGATGGAGGGGTCGTGGGTCGGGTCCTGTGCTGGGGCCGCCCCAAAACAGCACCCGCCCCGCCCTGCCCTGGCGGTGTCTGGCGCGACATCACCTGTTGTTTTTCCTCGTGCGTAGCAGGCTAGAGCCAGCGCGCAGCATCGCTCACCGCGGAGACAGCAGCGCCGTTCAGACATTTAGGGGACTGCTCCATATTTGTCTGGGAGGATAGTGGAGTGCGGGTCGGGACCAATGCCCGGGTTGCCCCGAGAGCAGCCGCCCTGCCCTGCCCTGGTGGTGCCAGGCATGGCTTCACCTTTGTTTCCCACTCGCCCACTCTGTGAGCGCGGGACCCCGTGGGAGGTGGTGTGGGCTCGGCTCCCTGGGAGGAGGTCGGTCCCCCCGCGGGAGGAGGTCGGCCACCATGGGAGCGCTGCCTCCCTCCCCCCACCCTCCCCTCGGACAGCTCCGTTTAATTTGCGTGCGCGCGTTGCGCGTGTGCGCGCGCGGTTGTTTCTGTGTGCTCGTCTACTGTTTTTGTATTTGCCTTCCGTGTTTGAGGCGCGTTCGTGGCTCACCTGCGCGCTCTCTGCTTGCATCTCTCGTACCCCATCGGCAACCACCGCGCCCATCCCAGTTGGAGTCACAGAAGAGCACATCAAGCAGTGGCGAGTCGTCCTACTTGTCTGCAGGCCTACCAAGGAGTGTTCCGATAACCTCTCTTGGTCTGCACGAGATGTTCTTGGAACGCCTCTTGCCGAGACCGTCTTGTTCGGATACACAGCAATGGTGTTCTCAGATGATTTGTGTTTTATTCAGTTTTTTTGGTTCTAAGGGAATTATTCCGTGGTAAGCCTGTTGGAATGACTGGATGGTCGGTCTCTGCTCAAGGAAGAGCATCGGCGACACTGAACTTTCGGAGGTCCGCGCGGATTTCTCAGATCGGCGCTGGGGCGCGGAGCGCGCCAGGGGCGGCGCCAGAGTCGCCGCCAGTCCAAGATACTCGCGCGGACCTCCGACAGGTTAACCCTCCGCGGCTTCCCGGGAGGCCGCCCACACCCGAACCCGACGCCGTGACTTTTTCACAGCGTCGACCCCGAGAGGTCCGGTCCCCTTCCCCGGGACCGGCTTTTCATCCCGAGAGGTTTTTTGACCGTCCCGAGGCCCGGGAAGGGCCTCCAGAGGAAGATTGCGAAAAACTTCCGGACTTCCGGTTGTGATTTTGTCACAGCGCGGGGAGGTCTGGGAAGGCAGGGGGAGAGGCGTGCCTTCCTCCTTCCGTGGCCAATTCGGCTCCTGCCGTGCGGGCCACCTGCCGTGGCCCGGAAAGGGCTCCCGGAGGCCGAAACATACGCGGAAAAAAAAAGCGCCCGCCGCGTGTGTCCTCCCAGCGCAAGGGGGGCCTGGGCGCTCGCCCCCCTGCTGCCCGTGGCCGGCGACTCCTCGAACCTCGCCGAACCAGGCGTGGTTCAGCGGACAACCTCCCGTCGCGAATTTTTTTGACAGCGGGAGGGGGGCGGGCAATACTTCTGTCCATATCCACTGCAGTATGGAGTTTCGGGCTCCCTTCCCCAGAAACCCGAGGCACACTGGATGCTAGGTGTTTATCCATATCCGGTGCGCCTCGGCCTTGAGGCGCTTCTTCCAAAAAAGTTCAAGACGCACTGGATATGGATATAAGTCTTGCCCGCAAGGGGGTCTGGAACTATCGCGCCGCCCCCTCCTGCGCCGCCGCCGGCAAGCTTGGCCTTGCTGGCCACCTTCTGCTGGAGGTGGTCTCCGACGTGGACTGGAGCGAGGCCCGCTGCCTCGAGTGGATGGCGGACGACAGCCTGCTGCAGCCAGGGGAGGCTCGACTACACGTAAGAGCGACCCTTCGCTGGAGTGACCTTTGGTGCGGGCTCACCGGTGCCCCCCCCGATCGTTTCGCGCGATGCGATGGTGGCTGTTTTCCCGCCTGGATATGGCCGCTTTGCGCCCCTTTACTCTGCGCACTGGAGGTCACCCTTACCTACTGGGATGGACGCGGGGGTTGCTAAAGGGATAGGGGGTCATCAGTGGACGCCACAGGGGTTATACCTGGCCTAACCCGGCTTATAAGTGGATAGCACAGGCCCGTAGTGGCTTAGGGGGATTCGACAACTCGGCCAAGCGGGCGGAGCCCACTTCGCCTGGATCGCTGTCCCCCCAAATCCACTTACAGCATTAGCAACCCTCTAATGAGCTAGGCTAGGGCAGATATAACCCATCTTGGCATCCACTGCTGGCCTCCCTTGCCCCCTTAGCACCCCCCCATCGCCCGTCCCAGTGGGTTCACTCGTGCGTGCAGCCGAGAGGCGGACCGCCGTGGCCTGGCCTTCCACCGGCCCGATGCAAGCGGCCCCGGTCTCTCGGGGCAGGAGTTCGGAGGAGGACAAGGCACCGATGCCGCTGCCCGTCGCCCGCTTTCCTCTTGCCGGGGGCCTCCTGGGAGGCCCTCGTCGCCACCGCTGGATTCGACTCGACATCCTGGTCAGAACTCCTCCTCCTCCTCCTCCTCCTCCTTTTCCTCCTCCTTTTCCTCCTCCTCCCTCCTCCCTCCTCCCTCCTCCCTCCTCCCTCCTTCCTCCTCCCTCCTCTCTCGTCCCTCCTCCCTCCTCCTCCTCCTCCTCCTCCTCCTCCTCCTCCTCCTCCTCCTCCTTCGGGGGAGTGGTGGCATCGGTACCTTTTTGGAGCTTTCCCAGGAGCCCGCGGGCTTCCTCCCCTGGGGCGGGACGGTCTGCGGCTTCGAGCACTGGCAGGCGCTCTCGGTCCCGGGCCAGGGCGTCCTGCCTCTTGAGCTGGGCGGGAAGCGGGTGCTGGTGAAGAGGCGCGCCTACCTGCTGCCAGCGGAGGTGGATTGGGTTGTGTGCCGCCTCCCCCCTCTTACTCTTGCTGCTGCTTCTGCTGCTGCTGCTCCGCCTCCTCCTCCTCCTCCTTCTGCTCCTGCCCCTCTTCATGCTACAGTCAAGACGCATAGTGAGGATGAGCGACTTTCCATGGTTGCCCTTGCATCCTTCCCTCTCGGCCCATCCTTGGCCGCTTTCGCTGGCCGTGCCCCGCCAGCAAAGTGTCGGCATGGCCTTCCAGTGCCCTTGCATCCTTGTCGTGCGCCCTTGCTATACGGGTTGACTATACTTCTGCTCCTGGGATTTGCCCCAGGCCGGCCACGAAGTGCGGTACCAGCCGACGGTTTCTGGCAGCGGAGGGGCTTTTGGCGAGCCGGTGCCCCCTGGCTCGGTGGTATCTGGCTTCGCCTGCCACGGGGGCGAACTCCTGTGGGTGCCTGGGAGCGGATATCCCAGAGACTTGCGCCAATCCGCCGAGCTCCGGCAGAGGGGATTCGCGAGGGTGTCCTGGTACGCTTCAGGGGTGGCGTTTGAGTGCTGAGGGAACTGCCCCACGCGTCTCACACGCATTGTCACCCCAGGCGCACGGGGGTCGGCAGATCTCCCTCTGGAGGTTGGCCTCACGCAGCCATTGCAGAAGAAAGAGAAGCCGGAGGTTCAGGGGCACCCTGTGCTGTGGCTGTTGCCTGGTGACCCCCCCGTGCGCTCTCCAGGCATCCTGACGTGGATGATGTTCGACGATGAGAAGATGCATTGGGGAGCTCTGCAAGACCGCTTCAACGAGTCGACGAACGAGGAGAAGGCACATGCGGCGAACACGGTATTCAGTTTCCCTGCGCCACCTTGGCCTTCCAAGAGATATGTGCAGATGGACACAGTCAAGGAACGATTTGCGCGCCACTGGCACATTTTGCTTTCTGGCCAATATTTGCGGCAGGGTCAGGCCCGCTCTCGCTACAGAGTGTCAGCAAGGGAGCACCTGACTTCGTTTGGTCCTAGCAACCTTCGCCCCAAGCAGTGTCCTGGGGTGTCACCGCTTGTCTGGCTACGGAGGGTGGCCCGGCAGGGGTACGACAGCTTCCTCGCAGGCTGAAAACCGTCAGACATCAATCGCCTTCTCGGCCTCCTGCTCCTCCTCATCCTTCTCCTCCTCCACTACCTCATTCTCTCCAGGGACGGTAGAGTCTGGCGAGGCAGGCGGGAAGGAGTGATGAAGACGCCCCCAAAGAGCCCCCAGAACGCAACACAAATAGCCCAAGAAAGTCGTCCGACGGCTTTCCAGGCTCCCAGGTTCGCCGAAGCATTAACCAGAAGGCCTCCAAGAGGCCCCAAGAGACCTCCGAGAGGCGTCCCGAGAGGGCCCGAAGAGCCCAACATCGTTGATGTTCATGAAAGCTTCTTAAAAACAAACCTAAATCAATCGGGTCCACAACTGTCGAGGTCTAATGCTCGTCGCCTACCACGTGGGGCGGCCGCTCCGTAAGGTCGGAAGCGTATGCCTTGTCTCTATCATTGTTTGGGCGTTCTTGGGCATTTTCGGGCGTGTCTATTCCAAGAAGCAGAAGGAAGGCGTTACCACTGAGGAGCGCGCACTTGTCGTTACTTCGAACGACATCGCCACCAACGCCGAACCCAACGCTTGGTAAACCCGATTCTAGGTCCCAGCCGCCAGAGGCCGCCCTCCACCAAGCATAGTTGCAACGCCTGCTTTTACCTTCCTTCCGACGGCTACCTTGCCTTCCGCTGTCCATGGGGTCACGTTCGACCTTTGGCCCTTCCGCCCCATTATTACCCTCTCATGGCATCTTATCTTACTTGTACTCTTCCATGCAGGGGCTCGCCCGTTTAGATCGCCAAATTGCTGAGCAGCAGTACGTTGCTCAGGCAGGCCCGTGCTAAGCAGCAGGTAGGACACTGGGCTGGTACAATCCAAGCCACATGTCAGCACTGGAACAATTATTGTTCTGTTGATGTGATTTTAGATACGCCTCCCATAGATTCCCCTCTGGACGATAGTACAGACATCATTGCACTACCTACGCATGTCCTTGCGACTGGAACGGGCAAATATACCAACTAGTTGTCAGTGACCGATGTCTACGACGATTCTGGCGGGGCTGGTCTGGGCTGGTGGGGTGGGGGGGGGGGTGGGGGCGGAGGTGGTGGTGGAGGGCGAAGCACAAGCGCTCGCATGAGCATAAGCTTCCAGAGGTCGCGCGGGAGGCCCTCGCACAGACGTTCCCCCCTTCGGCCAGCGCCTTGGTTTGTTTTTCCCAACCATCCTGTGGTGTTGGGTCCTCGTTTTGAAGAGACAGCGCCCCGCGTTCCTTCCTTCCCGCTGCCCCCTCCCTCCTCCCATCTTCATCATCATCGTCATCATCCCCATCATCGTCATCGTCATCATCATCTGTCGTCATCATCATTATCACCACCCATGTCGGCACACCCCTCACACGTTTCGTGACCCCATAGGGAGCTCCACCGAAGGTCCCAGTGCGTGTGCCCGCATGCGTCCCGCACACTCATTTCGGCACACCCCTCACACGTTTCGTGGCCCCATAGGGAGCTCCACCGAAGGTCCCAGTGGGTGTGCCCGCATGCGTCCCGCACACCCATTTCGGCACACCCCTCACACGTTTCGTGGCCCCATAGGGAGCTCCACCAAAGGTCCCAGTGGGTGTGCCCGCATGCGTCCCGCACACCCATTTCGGCACACCCCTCAACAAAATATGAGCTCCACGTCACAGGTTCGTGGCCCATAGGGAGCTCCACCGAAGGTGTGGGTGTGCCCGCATGCGTCCCGCACACCCATTTCGGCACACCCCTCACACTTTCGTGGCCCCATAGGGAGCTCCACCGAAGGTCCCAGTGGGTGTGCCCGCATGCGTCCCGCACACCCATTTCGGCACACCCCTCACACGTTTCGTGGCCCCATAGGGAGCTCCACCGAAGGTCCCCAGTGGGTGTGCCCGCATGCGTCCCGCACACCCATTTCGGCACACCCCTCACACGTTTCGTGGCCCCATAGGGAGCTCCACCGAAGGTCCCAGTGGGTGTGCCCGCATGCGTCCCGCACACCCATTTCGGCACACCCCTCACACGTTTCGTGGCCCCATAGGGAGCTCCACCGAAGGTCCCAGTGGGTGTGCGCACACGTTTCGTGGCCCCATAGGGAGCTCCACCGAAGGTCCCAGTGGGTGTGCCCGCATGCGTCCCGCACACCCATTTCGGCACACCCCTCACACGTTTCGTGGCCCCATAGGGAGCTCCACCGAAGGTCTCAGTGGGTGTGCCCGCATGCGTCCCGCACACCCATTCCGGCACATCCCTCACACGTTTCGTGGCCCCATAGGGAGCTCCACCGAAGGTCCCCGTGGCGCAGTCCACATGCGTCTCCTTTGCCCAGTACAGCGTTACGTGGCCCCATATGGAGCCCCACCGCAGGTCCCAGCCAGCCAGCTAGCTCTCTTTGCTCCGCGCAGCGGGCGACCCGCGCGCGTCGCTGGGACTCCTCCGGGGCGACCTGCGCGCGTCGCGGGGGCTCCGTGCTGCGTTCCGCCCAGCGCCTCGCTCGCCCGTCGTCGCTCTGCCCAGCGGCAGCGGCAAGAGCCTTGCCCGCTATCAGCCAGCCAGCTAGCTCTCTTCGCTCCGCGCAGTGGACGACCCGCGCGCGTCGCTGGGACCCCTCCGGGGTGACCTGCGCGCGTCGCGGGGGCTCCGCGCTGCGCTGCTCCCGCAGCCTTGGACTTTTGAGTGCGCGGGCAAAGAGGGAGTAAAGGAAGGGGAGGAAGCGGGCGCGATCCTCGCGGGGGGGCGCGCCGACATTGGCGTCGCGGCGCGCGGGCGATGCCGTCGGGGAGTCCCGGGGAAGCTCCTTGCGGCGGCCACGCCCAGCGTCACGAGTATTCAGAGGCAGTCGTTGTCAAACTATTGGCATTCATACACATTTGCACCACGCTTTGTCATATTCGCATTCATGCACGTAGACTCGCTCGCACGCAGATCATTCACAGTCAGACGCACGCGCGCAGATTCACCCGCGCTCAGTCTCCCTACGTACTCAGATCAATCGTTTTCGTTCACTTTGTGTACCACGCCACTCATGTCGGCACGCCCCTAGCACGGTTCGTTGCCTCATAGGGATCGCCACCGAAAAAATGAATCACTATTGCGGTACTCGCACCTGCATATGGTTGGGTCCCTCGTCAGGCTAATTTGTTGGCAACCTGTGAGGTGCCAGAACTTTGCTCATGAGATGTGTCCCACGTGATGCTTGGAACAGTCCAGAGCCAGCATGTTGTTTGTAGACGGTGGACTATTTCACGTATTTTTAACCGGGCTGTGTGCATGCTCTGCACCGCAGCAGTAGCGGTCAGGAGCGAGCTTGCGGTGTTGGAACCATCGCCGCTACCTTTGACCCATCAGCGTTGCGTTCTGCACGTCTCGGACTTTCTCCAGCGACTTGTCGCCCAGTCGAATTGAGAAACATGAAAATCGCTGATTTTCATTATTCGTTTCACAGATTTTGATCTTCTCGCGTTTCCGAGCTTCCAACGCTCCAAGACAGCCGAAGAGGCTCCCAAAACCGCCCCAAGACGGCCGAAGAGGCCCCCAAGAGAGCCCAAGGCGGTCCCAGATAGTTCAAGACTGCCCAAGAGGCGCCCAAGACGGCTCAAGAGCGCCCAAGGACCGCTCAAAATAGGCCCGAGGGCGGGAGCAGGAGGCCCCCAGAGGCCCCCGAGAAGCCTCCAGGATCCCCCCGAGGCCCCCAACAAGCCCCAGACCTATGAGAGTCACCCAAAAAGGCCCACGAGGCACGCTTCGTGGCCCCATAGGGAGCTCCGCCGAAGGCCCCAGTGCTGCCGCCCGCGTGCGTCACGCGCACCCAATTCGGCACACCCCTCACACGTTTCGTGGCCCCATAGGGAGCTCTGCCGGAGGTCCCAGTGCTGCCGCCCGCATGCGTCACGCACACCCAATTCGGCACACCCCTCACACTTTTCGTGGCCCCATAAGGAGCTCCGCCGAAGGCCCCAGTGCTGCCGCCCGCACGCGTCACGCACACCCAATTCGGCACACCCCTCACACGTCTCGTGGCCCCATAGTGAGCTCCGCCGAAGGCCCCAGTGCTGCCGCCCGCACGCGTCCCGCACACCCAATTCGGCACACCCCTCACACGTCTCGTGGCCCCATAGGGACCTCCGCCGAAGGCCCCAGTGCTGCCGCCCGCATGCGTCCCGCACACCCAATTCGGTTCACCCCTCACACGTTTCGTGGCCCCATATGGAGCTCCGCCGAAGGCCTTAGTGCTGCCGCCCGCATGCGTCACGCACACCCAATTCGGCACACCCCTCACACGTTTCGTGGCCCCAAAGGGAGCTCCACCGAAGGTCCCGTTGGGTGTGCCCGCATGCGTCCCGCACATTCATGTCGGCACACCCCTCACACGCTTCGTAGCCCCATATGGAGCTCCACCGAAGGCCCCAGTGCTGCCGCCCGCATGCGTCCCGCACACCCATTTCGGCACACCCCTCACGCGTTTCGTGGCCCCACAGGGAGCTCCGCCGAAGGTCCCAGTGGGTGTGCCCGCATGCGTCCCGCACACCCATTTCGGCATGCTCTTCACACGTTTTGTGGCCCCATAGGGAGCTCCACCGAAGGCCCCAGTGGGTGTGCCCGCATGCGTCCCGCACACCCATCTCGGCACACCCCTCACGCGTTTCGTGACCCCTCACACGTCTCGTGGCCCCCTAGGGAGCTCCACCGAAGGCCCCAGTGGGTGTGCCCGCATGCGTCCCGCACACCCATTCCGGCACACCCTTCGCACGTTTCGTAGCCCCGTATGGGGCTCCACCGAAGGTCCCAGTGGGTGTGCCCGCATGCGTCCCGCGCACCCATGTCGGCACACCCCTCACACGTTTCGTGGCCCCCTAGGGAGCTCCACCGAAGGCCCCAGTGGGTGTGCCCGCGCGCGTCCCGCGCACCCATGTCGGCACACCCCTCACACGTTTCGTGGCCCTATAGGGAGCGCCACCGAAGAAGATATTCACAATTGCGGTATTCACAATTGCATATGGTTGGGTCCTTCGCCAG